TTCCTGATTTTAAACCATGCAGTATTCCCTTGTTGTGTTTGAATGACAGTCTCTTGATCTGTATTACAGGTTTTGCATGAACACAATTAAGTGTTCCAGAATTCCCATTCTTCTCAATGTTATCCACAATTTGTTATGATCCACACAGTTGAATGCCTTTGCATAGTCAATAACAAAGTGTTTTGTTACAAAGTGTTTTCTGCTTTCAGCCAAGATGATCTTATATCAGTAATGATATCCCTCATTTCATGTCCTCTTCTGAATCCAGCTTGAATTATCATTATCGTCAGCAAAATTTTACTTTTATGTGATATTAATGATATTGTTCAGTATTTCTGTGTTTTGTTTGATAACCTTTCTTTGCAAGGGGCACAAATATGAATATCTTACAGTCAGCTGGCCATGTAACTGTCTCCTAAATTTCTTGGCATAGATGAGTGAGTGCTTCCAGTATTGCATCCATTTGCTAAAACATCTCTATCGGCATTCTGTCAATTCCTAGAGCCTTGCTTTCCTCCAATGCCTTTAGAGCAGCTCAGACTCCCTTCAGTTCCCTCAGTTCTTGATCATATGCTACCTCCTGAAATGGCTGAAGGTCAACCAATTCTTTTGGTACAGTGACTCCATGTATTCTTGCTATCTTCCCTTGATGTCTCCTATATTGTTCAATATCTTGCACATAGAATCCTTCTTCAATATTACAACTAGAGGCTTGATTTTTTTCTTCAGTTTTTTCAGCTTGAGAAACGCCAAGTGTGTTCTTCCCTTTTGGTTCTCTTAACTCCAGGTCTCTGTACATTTCATAACACTTTATTCTCTTCTTGAACTGCCTTTTGACATCTTCTATTCAGCTCTTTTACATGATCATTTCTTCTGTTCACTTTAGCTATCCTATGTTGAAGACACATTTCAGAGTCTCTTCTGACATCTATTTTCATCTTTTCTTTCTTTCCTGTTTTTTTAATGATCTTTTGCTTTCTTTGTGTATGATGTCCTTGATGTCATCATATCTAAAGATGTCTGGTCTTCATCATTAGTGTTCAATTCCTCAAACCTATTCTTGAGATTGTCTCTAAATTTAGGGGGTATACACTCAAGGTCACTGGCTCCTGTGGACTTGTTCTAATTTTCTTCTGCTTCAACCTGAATTTGCATATGAGCAACTGATGGTCTGTTCCACAGCCAGCCCCTGGTCTAATTCCAACTGATGATACTGAGCTGCTTCATCATCTCAATGTACATTTGATTCCTGTGTATTGTATCTGGTGAGGTATACATGCATAGTCAAACATTATGTTGTTGAAAAAAATGATTTGCAATGAGTAAGTCATTTGTCTTGCAATATTCTATCACACAATCTCCAGTGACATTTCTATCACCACAGCCATACTTTCCAACTACTGATCCTTGTTTACAACTTTCACATTCCAATTACCAATAATCATCAACGCATCCTGATTGCATATTTGATCAACTTCAGACTGCAGGAGTTGGTAAAAATCTTTATTTATCTTCATCTTTGGCATTAGTGGCTGATAGTAAATTTGAGTATTATAATCATATTAACTGGTCTTCCTTATAAGGAAGTTCTGGTTCTGGTTACCTAGTGCCGCTCTGACAAGAGTATTTACCACAAATAGAATTGCTTGAACAAACAGGAGTCTATTCTCTTACAGTTCGGGAGGCTAGAAGCCCAAGCTCCAAGTGCCAGGCTCTAGGGGCTTGGTGAAGGCCCCTCAACCTTGGGCTTCAGCCTCTTGCTGCCAGCCGACCGAAGTAAGAGGTATCTCTTCACTCAGGCAGCGGCTGGCTGCTAAGGCTAACAAGCCCCAGGTCAACAAATAAAATGGCACAGTCCCAATGTTATTAAACCACATGGCAGGCCGTTAATTCAAGTCCATTGAAAGTCCCAAGGTCAGCAGAACATGACAGGCTGCTGAACAATGACTTGGCTACATGCAGGGTTCAAGCATGCCATAAGCTAGAGACCGTTCCCCAAGGCTTCTCCTTATATACTGGAAGCAGACCATATCCCTAAGGCAGCTACTCAACTGCTCACAGTAGATTCCACCACGGAGTTGATTACCAGTCTCATCATGGGGAATACTACATCCAGCTGCCCAGCCACTCAACCAGGCCCAGCCAAGCTGACATACAAACTTAACCACATAAGCATATACAGTATCCTAACATAGACAGCATTGTACTTCAGGATAGGTCTTGAAATATTTTTTCCCCATTACTCTCCACTTTGTCATTCCCAGTATAGACCATGTGACTGCCTGATAAAAAATCACCAATACCAGTCCATTTAAGCTCACTAATACTTGGGATATCAATCTTTATGCATTCCATTTCATTTTTGATGACTTCCAATTTTCTTAGATTAATACTGCATAAAACTCCCATGTTCCAATTATTAATGGATATTTGTAGCTGTTTCCTCTCATTTTGAGTCCAGCCACATCAGCAAATGAGGGTCCCAAAGCTTTAGTCCACCCACATCATATGGTTGACTCTTGTTTGAGGAGGCAACTCTTTCCTAGACATAATTTAAGTGTCTTCCAACCTGAAGTGCTTACCTTCTGTCACTACATTAGACAATGTTCCACTGCTATTCATAAGGTTTGCACTGACTAATTTTTAAAAAAATTCATTACCAGGTCCTTCCTTCTAGTCTGTCATAGTCTGGAAGCTCCATTGAAACCTGTCTATCATGAGTGATCCTGCTAGTATTTGAAATATTGGTAGTATAGTTTCCAGCACCACAGCAACATGCAAGTCACCACAGTATGACAAACTGACAGACAAGAGATGCAGAGACATTATAAGAATGAAAATGAACTGAATGAACCAAATATGGAAAATGTTAATAATTATAAAGTCTATGTGGTGGGTATATGGTATTCACTGTACAGTTCTTTCAACCTCTCTCTGTAAACTTTTGTTGGGAAAAAATAATATTAAGTATGTAATCATACATTGGGGGGGGCAAACACACTGTCATCAAGTTGACTGCAACTCACACTGACCCCCATTGGGTTTCTAAGGCTAAAAATCTTTACAGGAAGTACATTGCCTCATCTTCCTCCCGCAGAGCAAGTGGTGAGTTTGAACTGCGGACCTTCTGGTTAGCAGCCAATTGTCTTACCCACAGCAACACCACATAAATAAATAAAACTCACTGCCATCAAGTCGGATCCAACTCATAGTGACCCTTCCTTGGGTTTCCCAGGCAGTATCACTATGGAAGTAAATTGCCCAACTTTACATTAATCAAATTACAAGATCCATACCTCACATCACACACAAAAACTAACTCCAGATGGATCAAAGACTTAAATGTGAAACCTAAAACTATAAAGCTCATCAATGAAAAAAACGGGCAAACTTAAGGGCCCTAATTCATGTCATGAATTGACTAACAAACATAATCCAAGATCTACAAACAACAGAAGATAAACTAGATTGTTGTTGTTGTTGTTGTTATGTGCAGTCAAGTCAGACCCAACTCATAGCGACCCCTCCTTGGGTTTTGGAGGAAGTATCACTACTGAAGTAGATTGCCCAACCTTCCTTCCGAGGAGTGGCTGGTGGATTTGAACCACCACTCTTCTGGTTTGCAGTCAAATGCCTTAGGCACTACACTACCAAAGCTCCTAAACTAGATTAGGATCTTCTAAAACTTAAATTCTTATGTGCAACAAAAAAGAACCTATAGAATGGGAAAAAATATTCACCAATGACATATCTGACAAAAGACTTACCTCTAAAATTTATAGAAAACTCCAACACCTCAACATCAAAAAGACAAACAATCCAATTGAAAAACAGAAGACATGAACACACACTTCACCAAAGAAGATATTCAGGCAGCCAACAAACACTTAAAGAAATGTTCACAATCATTAGCCATTAGAGAGATGCAAATCAAAACAACTATGAAATACATCTTACCCCAGCACTAATAGCAAAGTTCAACAAGACAGAAAATAACAAAATGCTGGCAAGGATGTAGAGAGATTGGGACTTTCCTACACTGCTGGTGGGACTGTAAAATGATACAACCACTGTGGAAATTGGTATGGCGATTCCTTAAAAAGTTGGAAACAGAAATACCATTTGACCCAGCAATCCCATTATTAGATATATATCCTAAAGAAGTGAGAGCCAGGACACGAGTAGATTATATACACCCATGTTCATTGTAGCACTGTTTACAATGGCAAAGAAGCAGAAACAACCTAAGTGCTCATCAATTGAGGAATGGATAAACAAACTCGTACATACACACACTGGAATACTATGCAACCCTGAAGAATAATGAAACACCGCATAACGTGGGTGAACTTGGAGGCCATTATGCTAAGCGAAATAAGTCAATCACAGAATGACAAATATTCTATTAGTCCATTAATGTTAACAAGTCAAGGAAAGGTTATACATAGAAGGAAACTTTCTTTGTTAGTTACCAGAGAAGGGATGGGAAAGGAGAGAAAATTTCTAGATAGGTTGGAAAGTATTAAAAAAAAAAAAAAGATAGATAGAAACCAAAGATTATTAGTAGTTACCAGGGGTGGAAAGGAGCTCTGGTAGTGCAATGCCTAAGGCACTTGACTGCTAACCAGAAGGCTGGCGGTTCAAACCCACCAGCCACTCCTCAGAAGGAAGGTTGGGCAATCTATTTCCATAGTGATGCTGCTTTAGAAACCCCAAGGAGGGATCGCAATGAGTCGGGTCCGACTCAACGGCAAATAACAACAACAACAGGGGTGGAAGGAAAGGGGAAAAGGGAAGCTTTTGTTTGGTGGGCAATGAGTTTACGCTAATGGTGGTGGAATATTTTGAAAAAGGATTGCAATATTGGTGGCACAACATGGAAATTGTCATCAATGTCCCTGAACTGTAAATGGGGAAGTTGTTATATTGTTCAGTATTTTACTGTGTGTGTCTTCACCACAATAAAAGTGGGAGGCAGGGAAGAGACCCAAGATACTCACTGACACGCTCATGTAGAAGCAGGTAAGGATATTTCAGTATTTCAAGAAGAGGAACTCGGAGTTTATTTTCAAAGTCTTGGCCAGTAAAGTCAAATAAATGTGTTTCTCCATTGTTGTCTACGATATATAATTCATCATCATCTCCAATTTCTCCTTTCATGGATTTTTCAAAATGATTTATGAGACGTAAGGTTTCTAATTCCCATAAAACCTACAGGAAAAGAAAAATGGGCATTCTATTATCAACAAAACATGTTAAATATGATTATCTTTCTACAAAGCTTTTTTCCAAGTATAAAAATTTAAAAGTTTAAAGACTTATCATACAACGTAGATTTTTTAAAAAGTCACTAAATAAGACTACTTTTATAAGATTAAATAGAATATGAAATGTTTAAACAATTATTTTGCATATTTTTGCTATAAACGTAATATTACTACCTACTGTACTCAAAAGAAAATATGAAACTAAAGCTTCTTTGTCAAAGACATGAACTAAGCCTTCTATGTCTTATCCTTCCATGTTCTAGCCACAGCACTTACCTTAAAACATTAACTTTTAACATAAATACGCTGGTTAGTTTCATAATCAGGACACATTACAAATACAAAAGTTTTCTCAACACAAATTCATAACTAATCAACCTCTCTTCCTCTAAATATTTTGTACTATGTCAATGATAGACATATATTTTATGTCTAATATCTGTGTTGTTTTTCATCAGATAAATGTAATGAACCAAATATTTAGACTCATGTATCTAGAATTCTTTCAAATTCTCTACTATGACTGAAATATATGCCTGCCGTTAGAGTTTTATAAGGAGCCGTTAGAGTTTTATAAGGAGTCGTTTAGAGTTTTATAAGGTGGCATAGTGCCTAAGACATTCTGACTGCTAACCAGAAGGTTGGTGGTTCAAACGCACCAGCCACTCTGTGAAGGAAGACTGGGCAATCTACTTCCATAAAGATTTACTGCTTCAAAAACCCAAAAGGGGTCACTGTAAGACAGAAATGATTCAATGGCAGTGAGCTTGGTTTGGTTAGAATTTTATACCATTTACTCATTAAAAAATAAATCTAGAGCTATTAATTTAGCAAAGCTGAAGGATACAAAGTCAACAAACAAAAATCAGTTGGATTTCTACATACCAAAAAATGAGACATCTGAAAGGAAAATTAGGGGAACAATTCGATTTATAATAGCATCTAAGACAATAAAATACCTGGGAATAAATCCAACCAGAGTCATGAAGGACTTAAACAATGCAAAGACTTAAATAAAAAAAAAAAGATGTTCCATGTTCATAAATTGGAAGACTTATTATTGTTAAAATGTAATACTACCCAAAGTGATCTACAGATTCAACGCAATCCCAATCAAAATTCCAACAGCTCCCTTTGGATAAACTAATCCTCAACTTTAGAAAAGCCTGAGATCCGAAAAGCTAAAACAATGCTGAAAGAGAACAAAGTCGGAGAAGTCACCCCTCCTGATTTTAAAACATACTAGGTGCGGTAGTTCAGTTTGTGTGTCAACTGGGCTGGGCCTGGTTGAGTGGCTGGACAGCTGGATGTAGTATTCCCCATGATGAGACTGGCAATCAACTACATGGTGGAATCTACTATGAGCAGCTGATTATGCCTGAGGGAATGTGGCCTGCTTCCTGTACATAAGCAGAAGCCTTGGGGAATGGTCTTGAGCTTATGGCACGCTTAGACCCTGTATGTAGCCGTGTCGTTATTCAGCAGCCTGCCATGCTCTGCTGACCTCAGGACTTACAATGGACTTAAAAATAATGGCCTGCCATATGTTTTGGTAACATCGGGACTGTGTCTTTCTACTTGTCAACCTTGAGTCTATCAGACTCAGCAGCCACAGCTGAGTGAAGAAAAGCCTCCAGCTTCAATGGGCCAGGAGCAGGAGGCAGAGCTGCAACCCAAGGTTAAGGGGCTTTAACCCAGCCCCTAGAGCCTGGCACTTTGAACTTGGACTTTTAGCCTCTCGAACTGTAAGAGAATAAACTCCCATTCGTTAAGGCCATCCATTTGTGATATATTCTTGTCAGAGCGGCACTAGGTAACCACAACATTAGGCAAGTATATTAATCAAAATAGCCTGATACTGGTATGACACACAGACCAATGGAGTAGAATTCAAAGTCCAGAAACAAACCACACATCTATAAACCAAAAAAAAAAAAAAAAAGCACTGCCGTTGACTCGGATCCAACTTATAGCGACCCCTCCTTGGATTTTTGAGACGGTACCACTACAAAAGTAGATTGCCCAACCTTCCTTCCGAGGAGTGGCTGGTGGGTTTGAACCACCTGCCTTCTGGTTAGTAGTCAAATGCCTTAGGTACTATGCCACCAGAGCTCCCACACATCTATAGTCAACTAATTTTTAATGACGGTGATAAGTCTACTTGATGGGGAGGAAGAATCTCTTCAATAAATAGTACTGAGAAATTGGATTTCCACATACAGCAAAATGAAACAGGATCCACGCCTCACATCATACACAAAAACAAATTCAAAATGGATTAAGGGATCTCAAGGTGCAAACTGAAGACCCTAAAATCCTTGTAAGAATAAGCAGGGGCAACAATGCCAGGGCTAGTTTTTAATGGAACAGTGTAAGATAAAATAAATAAATGGGACCTTATAAAAATTAAACAATTTTGTTCATCAGAAGATTTTACCAGGAAAAAAAAAAAAAGAACAAACAAGCTATCAACTGGAATAATGTCTTCAGAAGTCATATATCCAACAAGAATCTAATAACCAAAATACATATAAAACTTTGAAACCTTCACAAAAGACAACCCAATCATAAAATGGGCAAAAACTTGAACAGACATTTCACCAAAGAGGACATTCAAATGGTCACCAAACACATGAAAAGATGCTCAATGTCATTAGTCATCAGACAGATGCAAATCAAACAAATCAAAACCACACAATAAGATACCGTTACATACCCACTAGGATGACTAAAAGCAACTCAGGTGGTGTAGTGCCTAAGGCATTTGACTGCTAACCAGAAGGATGGTGGTTCAAACCTACCACCTACTCCACAGAAGGAAAACCGGGCAATCTACTTCCATAAAGATTTACCACCCTGGAAACCCACTGGTGGTCTATGAGTCAGAATCAACTCCATGGCAGTAGGTTTTTTTTTTTAATCGAGAAGGGGAGGGACTGAAAGCAGAGACTCAGAATTATATACCAGTGTTCACTGCAGCTTATTCATGATAGCCAAAAGGTGGAAACAATCTAAATGCCTATAAAGAGATGAATGGATACACAAAAGGGAGTGCATACATACAAGTGAATACTACTCTGTCAGTGGGAGAAATGAAATCTTGATACATATTACATACAGATGGAGCTTGAAGACATTATCCAAAGCAAAATAAGCCAATCACAAAAGGACAAATATTGCATGATCTCACTTATATAGAAAAAGACAAGTATACAGACACCAAGGTGTGTTGGTAGTTAGCAAGGGCAGGACGAAGGGGAAAAGGAGGGGCTAATGGTGATGCTGGCAGTTCAAACCCACCAGCCACTCCTCAGAAGGAAGGTTGGGCAATCTACTTCTGTAGTGATACTGCCTCGGAAACCCAAGGAGGGGTCGCTATGAGTCAGATCCGACTCGAAGGCACTTAACAACAATAGTGATGCAGGAATCGCACTGATTAGGAGTAGGGCTGCACACCAATTGCTGTAGATGGCACCAATAAGTTGTATACCTGTGGGGGGCTGAACTGGCAAACTTATGTGATTGATATATTTACTACAACAACAGAAGAGCAGAAGCTGAGGCTGCTTCTGTGCAGCCAAACACCTCATGGCATTCAGTTCCTTAATTATAGAAAGGAAATTTAAAAAATGATGAGTAAACAAAAAAAAGAACTATTTACCAATAAGAAAAATAATCAAACCATTCAGACATGTCACATATACTGACATCAAAAAAAGAAGCAAAACTGTATACTCTCAAATAATTATATATATTAAAAAAAAGTCCCACACATAAATTTGCATAAAATTGATTTTATACCAGAATGACTAATCGATTAGAAAATTCTCCTTTAGGTTTCAACTCAATTCTATTAGTCGATAAGAATTTACTCAGCATCTACTAGGTCCCAGCCAACAGGCAAGGTACTAGAGAGGCAGCCATAATAAGACTTCAGAAGTTAAATCACATCATTTCCTCAAATGTTTCCAACAGAGTTTACTTATTCTTTTCCTAGTTATCAAGGTCTTAAAAATATTGCTTATCTAATTTAAATTACCTCATGCAAGAATGGCAATTCATCTCGTGCTCTGTGGTACTCAGCCACACATTCCAAGCAGTAGCAGAGGTCTTCATTAGCTGTTTGAAATTCACTGGTGGGGGTTCTGGCTGCATAGCGCTTTAGGAAGTCAACAGTGGAACCACCACCTGGCGTACACCAACAACATGTGCTCATTCTGTACCTATGTTCAGAAAAGAAGACATCTAAAGACTAGAGAAAGATACAAAAACAATGTGTCACGCCTATTCTGTGTGAATAGGTAGGTTTCCTACTAAAAAACACAAAAATGCAACCACTGCCATGGAGTTGGACCCGACTCATAGCAACCCTTCCTTGGGTTTCCCAGGTGGTATCACTACGGAAGTAGATTGAAGAGGAGTGTCTGGTGGGTTTGAACCACCAGCCTTCTAGTTAGCAGTCAAATGCCTTAGATACTACATCACCAGAGCTCCAGTTTTCTACTAGTGGTACAGATTTTGGAGTATTCTAGTGATGTACTGGAAGCAGTCAAAAGCTCAGGAAACCTTTCACATTCCCAAAGGCTATGTTCTAGAAATCCTGGAGATAAAAAAAAAAATCCATAAATGTAGACCTGTACCAATAATAAAAACCCACAGAAAAGGATTTTCTCTTGATTTGAAAGTACATCTATATGAATGTGTGTGAATCACTAATCATAATTCACTGTTTTTGTTGTTTTTTAATTGTGATGTGGGTGACAGTTTACAGAGCAAATTAACTTTCCATACAGCAGCTCATATACACTGTCTCATGACACTGACTGCAATTTCCCACAATGCAACAGCTCCCCTCCCCCCTCCTCCCCATAGCTACCTCTTTGCTGTGTCCTTCTTTCCCATGCATTACTACCCGCAGAGCTGTCTCGCTGTGCTTACACAGCTCTTCTTTTCTCTTATGATTGTTCTCTTTCAAGAAGTATATCTACCTAATGTAAATGTTCACCTCATATGCCTGTCTTTTGTTTGGCTGGAAGCCACAGGTGTGGGTTCAAGTCTAGACCTGAAGGGGAGCTAGGGGCCATAGTCTCAGGGGTTCCATTAGGCTCTATCAGAGTAGCAAACCCAGTCCTTTTTATTTTTTTTTAATGATTTTGACTTTTGTTCCATATTGTTCTCCCATTCTATCCAGGATCTCCTACACAGATTCCCCTCCGAGTGATTGACAGTGGTAGCCAGGCACCATCTAGTTCTTCTGGTATAATTCACTGCTTTTTAATGCACTGTAAATTCTAATAAGTTACAAATGTTAACCTATTGCTACGAAACTTTATAATTATAGTTTATGATTACCATCAACTTAAGGTACTTTGCTTTTATATCTTAAAATAATCTTCCAAGTCCTAGCAGTCTCAAAGAAGGAAAAATCAGCAAGAGGGAATGCGAAAGCGAGAAGTTGTCTAAGGAGCCACATTTGTTAAATGTCTGAATGAAGATACATGAGGCAGGTTTATCAAAACTGCCCAGAGTATGAAACTGGGAGGATTAGTAAGTAGGGTGGAGGCCAGAATCCAAAGATTGCTCCATGGACAAACTCTAAAGAGCTATAACAAAAATAAGCTATGATTCTATATTTTTACCCTAACTAAATGCATGCAGAAATCTAAAAAAAAGCTCATTGTTAGTATACAGTGTATTGTGGCTAAACAAAAAACAACTATCTGCATTGATAAATAGGTCAGAGAAAATACCAGATGAGCCCAGAACATCTTGTACTGCCAGAAAGGAACCACTCAAACTACAAAAAGATGGGGACATTTCAATGGGACACAGGAGCTGTAGCAATAATTTCAAAAATAAGAATCAGCACAATACCAATTCCTATGAGGTAAAGGTCAAATATATCCTAGATTTCCACATTCTCCAAGCTGCTGTAGGACTCCATCTCTGATACACTCTCCCTCTCCTCAGTAATCTTTCCTCCCCGATTTAGTTTCAGCAATTAGCAGCAGTCTCAAAGAACTTACAAACTGTACTTACAGTAAGTGGTTTATTAAAGAAGTTATCAAGATTTTACAAATCAGGATCAGGAAACAGGCAGGAAGTCTCCCTTCTTCATTGCAGGACAATTCTCTCAGCTCCTTTCATCCTTGCAGGCCTCCTCTTGCCTGCTCATGACAGGCCCCTCACTTGGTCCTGCCATCTATTGCCACCAGCTCTGCCCCAGGCCCCTTCTTGTTTCCACCAGTTCTGCTGATGGGCCCTTTCTGGGGCCTCTCACTGTCTTCAATGTTACAACCTTGAATTGTGTTATAGCTCTTTTAGGAGGTTCCTTGCCTCCTCTCTCTCTCTTGCTTCTGCCTGCTACTTCGCTTCCTGCTTCATTCCATATCAAAAGCCTTCCTGGCGCTGACTGCTCATATATACATAAAACTCCTTGCCAATGTCAAGGCATGACCCGCTCCCAATGGGCCCACAGCTGATCAATCTCTTCTCAGTAGGCCATAGGTACTTCATCTGTATAGTAGGCTAGAGTCACCTCATTTGCACAGCATACTGACCAATCACAGCAAGGTGCATACCAATCACAGAACAGGCTGCAGCCCAGAGCCAGACAAAAAGTATCAAAGCAAACTGTTTATGGCTTACCCAGGAAATGTCAATCCACCTGGCAAAAGTAACAGACCAGGTGGGATAGAAACCTACCGCAAAGGTAACTCCTCAGGGTTTAAGGGAAAAAATCTCTCAAGGCATTTTTCCAAAAAACCAAGGCAAAAGGCCATATAAAGGTAGTCATTTCACCACAGTCTACCCTCTGGTCTTTTAGCTATGGGTTATTGCACATACAATTCACCCCCAACTTGAATAGTTTCTTGGTTTTGCCCAAGTCCCTCAAGTCCCTCTCAGACTGCCTTCTGGGTTACCAGTGGTCATAGGTAAAGGACTGAACTGGCTACTTTCAACTTGGCTAAGATACCCTGAAACCTCAAAGATTAATTCTGCCTGCAGACCCCACACCCTCCCCCCACCTTGTCAAAAAATAACCCCACTTCCCAAAAACTGCAACTCTTGCAAAACCCCGTGTGCACCAGAGGTCCCTATAAAAAGGGGCAACACTCCCTCAAGGTGCAGATCTACTCTGTAATTGGCATTGTTCATGTTGCTCCTGGAGTCATCCCTCACAGGCTTTTCTTCAATAAAGCCTGCTCTGATCTGTCAAGGTCATGGTTATTTTCTACTCTCTTTACTTTCACTTTAGCTTCTGTACTTCTGTATTTTCCTAACAATAGGGGTACTATGTCTTTCTAACACAATTTTCCCTTCTCAGGATGGTCCTGAAATTAGTGGTTGTTTCTCTGAATGGACCTGACCTGGGCTTGATTCCATGCCACAATCTGTCCCTATATTCTCTTTCCTTGCTATTGTAACTTATTACTGATAACAGTAAACATGGAATTGTGTATCTTGTCTTTTCCTTATCTCTCTGATTTCCTTTATGCATCCAACTGAGACCAGACTGGTAGCACAGGAAAGAATGCAAAGTTACTAGCTTACTTAGTTTGCTTTACACAAGCTCTGGTGAATAACAACAAGCTGGTATGAAAAGATACTGTACTCTGCCTTTGGTTACCTCCTGTTGCAGCTCAGCTGTAACCACAAAGATCAGAACCAGCACAAAAAGAGAGTAACAGGTATGTGCTGCTGTACTCCAGGAAGGCACTCAAGGAATCCACACTGAAGCTTCCTGAAAAGCAGAGCAGAGAGAATAGCATGATGGATTACACAGTTCTCATCTGAACAGAAGTATGCAAGTTCAGCTGGAGAGCCCAGACTTTTCCTGGTACTAATTTTACTTCTATTACATTTCAGTAATGTCTACAGTGTGCAAGCATGCTGCAGACCTAGGGGATATAGGGTAAACATAACAGATAAGGTCTTCATTGTTTTTGCAGAAAATGTAATTATTTTATTCAAAGAACTTATTATACCTCAAAGATCAGTATCATAACACTAATTAGTTCACAGAACTCACAGCATTTTTTTTCTGGCAATGTAAGTCAATGTGGGGCATCAACTTAAAAGACCTAAGATTACAGAGTTAAATATCATGGAGCTATCTCAAAAATTAATTCTTTCAAGCATAATTTCGGCAAGTAACAGATCATAGTCCATTTAAACTTTAAAAAAAACTTAATTAAGGGACTGAAGTGCAAATAAAGTGCTATGTACTTTAAAATAATTATTAATAGCAGGGGAAAAAAAAACCTTCTATTAAGGAGTCTGCTTTTTATTTCATTCAATCAGAGAGGTAGTACAGAAAACACTATTAAACTTTCTCAAAGTAGAATCATTGCTATGCTATGGAATAGATAAGTTCCACAGAATCTCCAAAGCAGAGAATAATGCTATAGAGCATGTCAACAACAGAAATTTATGCTTCCAGGACTCCTCTCAATAGGCCATAATGAAGTTATGTCCTCAAATCTAAAATTGCCATTGGCCTGATGGCTAACCCCAAAAATCTCAACAGTGTTTATTTTTACTTTTCCTTTTGGGATCGCATATCAATGATCATGAATCCTGTTTTTTTAAAACTCCAGGACTTCTTTAGGTCAGTTTTGTTAATTTCATCAAACTTCATTTTAACTGCTTGGAATCATTACTGAACCACATAGATTCGGTTGTCCAGGAAACCCCCAAGCTGTATAATAGAAAATAAAAACATTCTTGAGTAGAAAAAAGAGAGTTTGTCAATAATATAATATGCTTCAACAGAGGCACTGGTTGTTACCTTTTTATATACTTAATCCTTAAGATATCATTTCTCAATAGTAGATGGCAAGAATCAGAGATGCAAATCAAAACAACAATGAGATACCATCTCATCCCAGCACTAACAGCAAAGTTCAACAAGACAGAAATAACAATTGCTAGCAAGGATGTGGAGAGAGATCGGGACTCTCATATGCTTCTGGTGGAACTGTAAAATGATACAACCACTGTGGAAAGCAGTATGGTGATTCCTTAAAAAGTTGGATTTAGAAATATCATTTGACCCAGCAATCCCATTACTAGGTATACATCCTAAAGAAGTCAGAGTCAGAACAAGAACAAATATACGCCTATCCATGTTCATCGCAACACTACTTACATAGCAAAAAGATAGAACCAACCTACGTGCCCATCAACAGAAGACTGGATAACTAAACTATGGTA